TTTCCGTTTAAATAAATTACCAAAATCAGTATGCAAACGCATAGAAATACTCGTAACTAAAGTTCAGAAAACTCGACCATTAAAACCAAATAAAATTTTAATAATTTTTTTATGGGACTTGGTGTAATAGTATTGATACAAAGACCTCGCTTTATCGATGAGCATGTCAGTAAATTCAGATGCAATTTTTTTTTCACAAGATTGAAAGGATACCTTGAAAATGGTCTTGAGCTACTTTGCTTTTCATGAGTTTTTCGTTTACGTACTAAGTTATAATTATTTGCTAATTTTGCCTGCCTTAAAAATAATTAAAATATACGGTACTTATTGTTGATATACAACAAACGTATGAAAATAAAATTTCAAACAAAACTTTTGCTTAACTTTCAATTCACTTTCAAAACACCAATTTATAACAGAGACGAATTGATCTTAACTTCGTCTCAAAAAAAGTTGTTCTAATTAATGATATTTATTTCAGTTTATGACATCCCTAATCCCATAATAATTTATATTTCGTGGCTGAAATTTGGTACTTCTTATTTGGTTCCTTAAATCAAATAACAGCCTGACGGCTGACATTATTCACTTCATACATATCGTATATCTAATTACAGTCCGATTAGTTTCCATTACAATAAAATTGTAAGCTCATAAAATTAAAAAAATAACTGCATTACTGTGTCTATAGTCATATTCATGCAACTCACAAGGTTTACAGACGAGTTAATGTATAATAACCTAATTTTATCGGGAACATAACTTGCCAATTAGGAAACTAAGCTTTTGCCGTTGCCTGCGTGTTTTGATAGTAAATTTAACACTGATATATTTACAACTGTGTGGTAATACTTGAAATATACTTTCTTCTTATGACGAAGAATCTTTAATTGACAATATTTGTGGATAATATCACTAGAAACTTATTAGAGGCAGGACTGGTAATGGGGACATCCGCCCTATTAAAAATCATGTACCAAATATATGGTTCGTAATCTATAAAACTTAAACAAATATTTTCAACGGAAAAACTACCAAATTTTCGAGGTATCACCTTAAATTTAAGTAGTAAGTAACTTATTGTAAACTCTATAATCCATTTAATAACAACCAAAAAGAAATTTCACAGTCGTAAATGCTATGCCTATATTATGATACATCTATACGTCTAAAAGGATTACCGGGTCATTTGTCACATACTGTATAAATTATACTAATTACAGTTTTATTTTATAATAATAAATATAAATATAAAATCATATATAATAAAGATAGCATAAAATAAAAATAAATATAAATACATAAAAAATGCTAATGTCCACTAGTGTCATATTAAAGGGGTGTACACTAGTAATAGCAGATACATGCATATTTAATGTACATACAATTAATTTAGGCAGATACGAAAGAGCAGCGAGCTACTGTGACCATGGTTAGTTAAAAAAGTTTGGGTTTATATGAAAAAGTATGAATGAACTGATTGGTGCCTAACCCATTGCCTACACCCTACATAATCACAACCCCCAATACCCCATTAGTCACTTTTTACGACAGGCTAGCTAAGTATAACATTTGACACTATTTATTATGTAATAATTCTCACATCTACGTTGGCCCTATAAGTCCCAGGCTAACATGGGACGAACTAGTGACAGTAATGTCTTAAACTTTGTTGGACGAAAGATGGTAGTAGCGAGAATATCATAAATAGAATAGGTTAAGTTAAGGTAAGTTTTGGAAAGCAAAAGAATAAGAGTATTCCAGAGTTTCTCTCTCCAAACTACACTCGCATAAGACGGTATACCTGATACTGAGTTTATCTAAATAGCTAGACGTATTCGACAAATTAATAGCCTTGTCGTGTCTAGGTGCCGCGCCGTGCAGCTCATTACACCGTTTGACTTCTTTAACTGTTTTATTACTCTGCCATATTTTTTCCTATTGTTTTGAGGTCTTCTTGAGTGAGGAAGAAAGCATAGCTGAGAAAATGATTTTTTTAAGGTAGTCTAGACAGGTTGCGTTTTTAGCCAGTGTTTCTGCAATTTCATAGTCGTGAATACACATCTATGACAGGTCATATAGTGCTAGCCTGGATACCCTGGTATCCACTATATGATGACTAGCACTATATAATGTTTTAATTGAATTACTTGGATTTTTTTAGCCTTAAAACCGCCTAGGCAATCAATTAATAACAACACTTTCTTCAGTTTGTGTTATTCAGCAAACAGTATGACTTCTTGTATGGTTATAGCATTTTCATAAACATATATTTAGAGTTACTACAGATATTATATAATGCAAATTAGTAGTTTAGAATCTTGAAATAAATTATTACCAACATGTACATGTACATATACAAAAATAAAACTGCCTGTAGTGAAACAATAAAAGACCATGAATCAATGTATGTAAATGGAGTACCGCACCGTCCTTTCTTGCATGGACGTGTTACAAATTGCTTGAAACCGTTGCGGCTCATCTATTGTTCCCAATTTTTGCGCTAATTTCTTGCGTCATTAGTTAATGAACCGACCCTTGTGCCAACTGGAAGAATTTGGAAGATCCGTGCTATGAAATTTAAATCAAACTCAATCTATGAACTACCATAGTTCCTACTTAATGTACGGCATTTTAAATATCACAAATTAGTTTGTAAACCAGAATATTTCATTCTAACAATTATTGTGTTGTTAAAATTGTGAATAACGCCATACTTTGTGATTTGTTCACAAAAGGTGCCTAAGCCGCGAAAATATCAGATATAAAAAGGTTTTCCTCTATAACGTTTTGTCAGTTTCAAGCAAAAAAGCAAATAACGACTGTTTGAAATAAATAAAAATAACAACTAAGTGTCGTCGTACGGGACAGAAGATCGTGGCGGTTTTGATAAATTACTGTTGCGGGATATTGGGATACTACTAACAGAAACGCAATTCCGTGATCTTTTTTCCTGAAATATAATAAGCACCGTTACATGAAGTTCACAGTATTATTAAGTTAATAGATTATTAAAGAAAGACATTATTAAATAAAGAGACAAGGTGAAGAATACATGCAAGGCAAGGAGGCCTAGTTTATGTATTCATCGCCTTAAAACCATTGAGATATTTGTACTACGTACTAGAGGCGACTTATGCAGTGGCATTAACCACTCTGTTCCACTTAACTGCGGTGCATACACCGCACTTTAATCAGTCACTCGCTAGGCGCCTGTAGAGTTGTCACGTGTTGTGTTGATTTAAAAAAAATCTCTTGATAAAAATATGCCGTCGTGTGTACTTAGATATTGCACAAATAATTCAAGAATTGTCAGTAAAAACCAAGGTATTACTTTTCATCGGTTAATAAAATACTTAATCAATAAAAATTATTATAAATTAATAAATAATAAAACAAATTATTCCTAAGACGCCGTCTTGTATCATGTAATATAGATTATGAAATTAATTTGTTCAGATGCGACATTTCTGTGGGTACTTAAGTATATGATGAATATATTATTACTATACACATTTTTTGTAGAAACATATATGAGTTATCATAATTAGGCCAATTTTTTATATTTAAATCTGCTCATTATACTATTATATTATTTTTAGGTTTCCACATGAAAGTCAAAGTGGAATAAATTCGTCCATTTTTAACTGTCGCATGCCCAGCATTTATGAACGACGCTTATTCTAATTTAAGCAAATATATTTTTAATTTAAATTTTATATTAATGAGTTTTGTTAAACATACATTTAGTATGTTTTTTTATATTTGACAGAGATACCTTTTAAAATATTCAGATAAAAATATCATTAAAATGTAATTGTGATATAATATTAAGTAATATAATGTTAAATAAACAAATATTATATACAAAATAAATGACAAAATTTGAAAATTGTTCTCGATTTAATTTACCTATTTAACAATACAATATATTATTACCTATTGATCGTTCTGCCTACGTTTATTCTATGATTACAAAACCAACCACGCGAACACAAAGTAGCGCACATGTTTTGTTTGAAATAGCTGTTCTGGTACGTAAGTACATATTACTTCAATGCTTAAAACATATGATAAATCTGCACGTGAAATCCCAACAGTAAGTAGCTTTTCTTTCAAACCTTGCAAACAATTATAAGACATAATATGGAACATAAGTAATTTTCTCAATAATGTGAAACAAAAAAATCAATATTTCTAACTAAAGTAATTTTTAACATTAGAAACGAATAAGGTGCATCGGGGGAATACCGATAGAAATTATGAAGACATGAATAAAGATATGTGCATTTTGATAAATAACTACCAACTCTAGGTTTAAATTGGCAATTAAATTATTTAAACTGTGACTATTTAAGTAAATAGAATTGTTATTTGTGTAAAAAATCTCCCGAATAACATGCTTAATTTTTAAGGGTGAATCCTGAGATTTGGCATATTCAGTTGATTCCCTTGGCTAAATTTATTTAATCAGATTTTTGGCAAGTAACAATGTAACATAAAATTTAACTTAATTATAAACACGTTTAACGAACATGCATCACTTTTGGCCGGATGGTTCCTAAAATATAGCATTTTAATTTTTTTTTCCCAGGGGAATCAATAAAACACGACAAGGGAATCAAAATTAAAACAAGCTATATAAGAAATTCAAGTTCCATTATAATTGTTCAGTAGGTGTCTCTACCCTCTATATAGTACTACCTCTATATAGTACTACCTCTATATAGTACTAGTCAGTCTTTTGGTTGTAGAAATTGGCACTTTTACCTTAACCACTTATCAATTAATAGGAAAATGTAAGTAAAACATTAAAACTATTCCTTTTTTAAAGTCAACAATATTAGCAAAAATTATAAAAAATCAAGGATCTATATTTTCGGTAACATAATTCTTAACAATTGAAAAAGAAATATCTCAAAACAAATATTTTGTTTTTAAAATCAACTACACTCAGATTATTAATCAAAGCTATTATCGATAACAGGGTAATACTTAATCTAAAAAATGTTGTAATCTGAGCTGGAATCATCATCTTCACAATGGAGGGCTGTTAATACGGTTTTGGTCATGGTGGTAGATGTTAAATTTTTATTCATTGAAGAAACATCAGTCCAGAAGCTGTCATCAGACGGTATATTAATGTCAGGGCGGTCTTCGACTGAAATTTCATCCAGTCCATGGTCTGGTTTATAAATGGAAATTCCAAAAGATATTCTACTGCACTCAGCTGTAGCATTCTTTTTCCTCATTTTTGATGGATAAGTATTGTTGCTTAAAGCTGTATTCCCAATGATATAGAAGCCAATATGTTGTCCATGTGAACATTGCACTGATTCTTCAGAGCATATTCCCATATCACAACTAAGACGCCTTATGGCTAATACTTCAGGATTATTGCAGCTCCATATAGCTTGGTGCACTGCCATGGTACCACGAAATTCTTTTAGATCTGAAGGGATCAATAATTCCTTTTCTAAAATGCCTGATTCTACAATTTCCTCTATGGAAACACCCGGGCATCTAATTTTAAGATGGCTGATTAAGGCTTCAATATTTGGGATGTCATTCTCTTGAGCAACAATTTGATCAGCAGTTCTTTTTAATACTCCCCCCACACCATCTGGAGCTCCCTTTCCATGCCCTTTTTCGGAGTAATTCCAAACCACGCGACGTAAATTTGGATAGTTCCAAAGAAGTTTGGCCATCACGTAAAACATTTTACGGTTACGGTACTGTGCAGATGGGTAATCAGATATAAAATTTAAAACTTCACTTCGGAAACCTCCTTCTCAATGAAGTTCAGGATAGGAATCAAGTGCTCCCAAATTGCCACAGCGTCGTGTCATAAGCACTCGCTAGGGTGCAAAAAGATTTGGTACAGATCTCTTCATTTTTTACATAAGAAATGACAGAAGTGTGTAGGGTCACTTGTTGTCTTGAACTCCCAAAATGAAAAGACTGTATCTCAGAAGCATATTTCGTATTGTAATTTTCGCTGAAATCACAATGTACTATGAATTCTCTTGATTTCAGATTTGACTTCAAATTCTTGATGTATTTATTCTGAACAACAATATTTGCGCAATGGCACATATATGGCTATAATAATTTTTCAAAATGCTCTATTGTATTTTTAGGATATGCTAATACTTTTTGCTTCAATGATTGCATGGTAACCTTTTCTTGTCCATTCTTGATATATTTCTTTTTAGACTTTGTCCAAAACCAGTAGTGGCTTCCCTTGAAATTATCAAATTCCTGGTAATTCAAATGTCTATTTTTACAGCAGTCACAGTTTCTACTCAAACATATTACATTCCTCGAATCACAACACAGGAATTTAAGAACATCATACGTCGATTTTTCTGCTATTATCTCGTGTCTTTTAAGAGCCATAACAGCTAGGTTCATATTCTCATGAGCAATACAGAGGCACGTCTCTCGGGCGTTGACGTTTGGAATTACTGTCCAAAATGGTCGCAAGGTGCAAAAAAAGCTATAACTAATTCTATACTCGGGATGCTGTTTGAGGAAATTTTGATGTAACTGATACAAGTTGAAATTTAGGCAAAGTCTACTATTTTCATCATCTTCGAAAAACTTTTCTATTGCTGTTTTCATTTTAGTTTTGATGTTTCAATAAATCGTTTTTGAGAGTCGATTTTTCTTTTTTATTTTGACTATTTTGGGTTATAGACATTTCAACAGCTTTTCTTTCAGACTTACTATTTTTAATCTATTTATCTGTGTTCTGTACTTCTCATTTATTGGTTTCAATTCTTGAATTTTTCTATCTTTTGTTAGCAATTCCTTATCTGTCACATATTTCATTTTTCTTAAAAGGTACTTCCAGGGCGATGTTTTCTTAATAGACTTTTTGTGACCAGCTTGATTTTGTTTTTGCTTAAGGATCGAATTGGATTTGGTATTGATTCGGTAGCTATGTCACTAATGGAACTTCGAGATGAAGATGTGTCGGTGTCACTGAATGAAGTTGGTTCTAATTCCAAATCAAGTTGATGTACAGAAGTCTGATCGAGATTTTTTTCTTCTTGTAGATCTTGTGATTCGACTTGGTATATTCGTACATATAACACTATCGGGACTTGAAGGTGGCGATGATTCAATGGCAAAAGAATTAGACGAGTGAGGTGTAATCAGACTTAGAGGATCTTCGTTGTTATCGCTATTTATTTCTGAATCTTCCTTATCTGAATAATTGACTATTTCTTCAAGATCCTGGATTTTTCTAAGTTTCTTCTTCTAGTTGTAACGATTTGAACTTTCCCTACTTTTCTTTCTTGCAAGTTTTTGCTGCCGTGGACTCATTTCACCTACTGGTATAATCTTCCCAGATTTTTTTTCTTCAAATATTTTTGCCTTTCTTTTTCTTGCAATTGTGCTTTAAGTTCGGGATTATTCTTAATTTTTTGTAGTCTGCCACGCTCAGCAAGTCATTTCTTCTCTAACCTTTCTTGCCTTGATTGTTTTGGAGGCATTGCTTAAATCTGAAATATGTTTATAAGTGATTTAAAAACTTAACATAGCTGATCTCTAAAATTTGTTTCGTAGTTGGTTTGGGCTTTTTTTGCGAGACGAACAAGGAAATTAAGATATTCATATAAATTGTTCATATTGATAAAATTTATCGTTTTCAAATAATACGCAGGCAAGTCGCGCGAATTAATAATAATAAATAATCTTTAATCGATAAAACGGATAAAAAATAAATATATTTGTAAGAAATAATACGCTAATTTTCTTGTTTTCATTGAAAGTTAGGAATATTTCGATTTTTCATCAGGAATTTTGATTACCCTGGCGCAAATACCAAGGAAATCAATGCTAATGGAATCAAAAAGTAGGATATTTTTATCGATTCTGATAAAAAGAATACGTTTTAAATAATAAAAATGAAATAAATAAATAACGATCATTAAAGCTGTTCCATTAACACCCGACAACAAATCCTTAAAACTCATATTACATTTATAAACGTGGTCAGGGTAATCAACGACCTAGCTCATCAAAACCAAGGGAATCAAATATTTACCTTCGTAATTTCGTCCTGGACCAACGAGCGGCGCAACCCTCCACAACGACGTTCGAAGCGCTACTATTAGCGCTCATGCGACGAAACGGATCCACTCCTATAGAACATTCCACTAGGGATGCACGTAGTTTAGTGACGCGCCACGGGAATCACTGTTTAGTCTCAGACAAACTTTATATTATAATTCTTAATAAAACTGTCATAAACACACATACGGTATATTTTTTTATATACCAACATCAAATCTGGTAGCAATTAGACTGCATTGTTGATTTTATTTCCGTTCATAATCCGTTCATAAGTAAGTGCTTTGGTGGTAAGTTTTTTTGCGAAATGTGAAGCGGACGCGCCAGGGGTATCAATATTTAGACCTTTCGGATTTTTTTACTATATTATTATACCAAATTAGACACAAAAAATATCGTGCCTCAGTTAGATCATACTTTATATTATAGCATAAAAATATTTTGGTTTCTAATTTTAATACTACGGGTACTTTTTTCTCCTGACAACCTAAATTGAGCCTCTCAAGATTCACCCAAAACTTGACCAATGGGGCAGTTTATTTTGTGTAAAATCGAGGTCAAGAGCATTCATTAAGTATAAATAAAATTTAATATTGTAATTAAAATCTTTTATTTATAATTTTTTTAACTAATAAAACTATCTCGTTAGTCTGGTTCACATGAACGACTATTAGTAATTAATTAATTACAAATAGTCGCTCTTATCAACCAGACTTTAACTTTTGACTTAAAAATATTATATAGTATAGATACTATAATCAGTTTCGTTACAGTATATATACGTCTCACTGTTGGTCACCGGCCTCCTATTATTTCTGAGAGGGTTTTAGTGCAAGGAAATGTCTGTGGTAAATCAGCACTGTGCTGCAACTGCAATTAGCAATTTCATTGGTGCCGACCGGGATCGAACCCAGGTTGCTCGCGTTCTGTTAAATTTACAGCAAGCGCAAAGTCCCTGCGCTATATATATATATATATATATATATATATATATATATATATATATATATATATATATATATAGCGCAGGGAAACTAAAACTATTTAACTATTAAAAATTACAAAATTGTACAAACTCTTTTGTAATGTAATTATTTAAACAGTGATAGAGCCACGTGGCAACTTTTTTGATATCGTACGAATGGGCTGCCTCTAACCGGGGAAGTTCCACGACGTCACAGAATACCAGCGCAACGCTTTAAGTTCGTTCCTTTACTCCATCCCTGTACCTTTTTCCTTGGAACTGGGTAAGTGTAACATTTTCAGTCAATAATATGTTCGCATCATTTATACTATTTTTTTGTCACATTTCGCGAATTCAGGCTATAACTAATAGTCCAATAAACTGATAATTGATCATGTTTCTGATGATGTTAATGCTGTTAGCCTTTTTGCTTTTACAGCTTTATAGGTCTCAGGGCCGCATTAATCAAAACAATCAATTCACATATTTTAGTATTAATATAGAACAGGCCTAAATTCATCTTCATAGATTGAGGATCATTGACTTTTTCTTAAAAAATAGATTTTATATTATATAATTTGGCCGCGTCCATTTTTGGACGCTTGGAAATTGTAAGGTTAAAAACTAAGTTGCGGCGCATTGTATAGCTTAACACTTGCATAAAATCGATTACCTATATTACAAATAATTTATTTTTCCTTTAAACTATTGAGAAAAAGTAGTTGAGAAAAAGAAGTTGGCGCTAATTCGAAAGACAAAAATAGCGCAAAATAAAAACTAATCTCACTAAGTATATAATTGTAAATTATCTATTAAATCAGTCGTGCTGCTTTAATTTATATCTAACGTGATATAGCCTCGCTGTTTGGCTGCACCACAAATGGAATCTCTTACAGAATGCATATGTACGTAAAATAGCGGCATAGAACCCATTACTAAAACAATGTATTCATCAGGGCTGAAAACATAACTGCATTTTCTTTCTTTATCGAGGATATATGCACGGGTATGTAGGCCAAAACACCCACTCACTCTCTATGAAGGCGGACCATGTGTTATTTTGTTTCTCTTATTTGTAGTTTTTATTTAATGAGGTTGAGAATCGAGCACACACTCCACCTGATAATAAATGGATGCTGTAGCCCATAGACATTTAGATTTATCCTCGACTAAGAATCAAAACGCAGATGCGTTTACACCCATGAGGACTAAGATGGAATGCTTCGTTTCCAGTAAAAAAAGAGTCTCCGGCTCCCTACACTCACTATACAAAACACAGCAGAATTAAGTTTTACGCTGGTATTCTGTGAGAGCGTGGTTCTTCATCGGTCGAGCCAACCCGTTCGTTCTGCAACCATAATGTAGATGCAGCGTGGTTCTACCACGTAAAATAACATAATGTTATATTATTTAATGTTATATACTTATATTTTAAAAATTATGTAACGTTACAAGAAATTTAAATAACTATCTGTATCCCTATTTAACATTTAAATCTAAGCCTATTCTGCAAATTAAAACTATTAGTTCGAAGTACCGAATATGTTTAACTTTCTCAATCAATACAAAGGAGATTTGTTGTAATGGACAATGTCTATTAAACTTAACTAAGTTCAGTAAATATTCGACAGATTTTCAGACCATTATGTATACTTATTCTATTTACTTATAACAATGTAGCGACGAACGACGTAAGAGCATTCATCGCATCCATCGATTTTGTGTCGTAAGCAGTGTCTATGAAAATGGCCGAAAGATCTATGTATGACTAATATAAGAAGATTATATTTGTTTTATTGTAGTTTACTGAACTTTGCTTACTTTAATAGACATTGTCAATTACAACAAATCTCCTGTGTATTGATTGGGAAAGTTAAACATATTGGGTACTTCGAATTAATCGTTTTGAATAGCAGAATAGCTTTAGACTTAAATTTTAAATAGGAATAAAATATAAAATATAAAAATACATTTTATAAAATATTAATACGTGGTAGAGCCACGCTGCAGCTTTATGATGGTTGTAACAAAATGTGTCGATTCGACCGGGGAAAGACCATGCTAATAGAATACCAGCGTAAAATAACAGCTTAATGGTTTTCTTATTGTTTTTTTATAGATCAGGGGTGAAAAGCGAGCACACAGTCCACCCGATGGTAAGCGGGTGCTCTGGCCCATAGACATCTACATTTATCCTCGATTAAGTATCAAAACACAGATGCGTTGTCACCCCTGAGGAATAAAATGGAATACCTCGTTTCCAGTAGAAAATGGTCTCCGGATCTCTACACTTACCATACGAAACACAGCAACATTAAGCTGCTATTTTACGCTGGTATTTTGTGTGAGCGTGGTCCTTCCCCGGTCGAGCCAACCCATTTGTGCTACTACCACGTATGAAAAGTAAGTACAGAGAACCTAGTCCTGGTCATCACCTGGTTCTCGTAATCTGCATTTTGTTTCCTAATCGAGTACAGATGTAGCTGTTATTAGTCCATAATTTTCACATACTATGAAACTGTGTGATTGTTTGTCACCTTTATTTTAGAAAAAAATGGGACCGAGTGTAGTTACGGGT